TATTCGCGAATGATGCTGAACCTTACAAATATTCAATCGGTCATTTATTTGTTATAATTTGATAGACTTATAGCATAACCTTAATTACAAGAATATGTATGCAGTCATCGGTGAATTATCTCAATTCGTAAAACTTTACCCTTTTGTGCAAAGTAATTCGAAAATAAATATCTGACTAATGTAGATCTGTAACGATCAGTGTGCTTCGACCGTTCAAATTAAAATAACAATATATTCTTGGAGTATTTCAAGAATTCTTTTGTTTACTATCGTAGAATTGTTCCATTTGTTATTATTTATTCACATAAATGAATACCAGCATATAGTAAATTAAATATGAGTCAGTTTTAACCCTGTTATAATTTAAAATTGATGATTAGCTTAAACAGTGTTGATGTATTTATTGGTAAATATTATGAAACATTTCTTTTGCATAAGTAAAAACGAGATCTAGTGACCGATTATGTCTGCGATAATGGACAGAATTACTGAAATGTAAAACAAATAATAACTGAAAGACTCAAAAACATTAACTATAAACATACCGTGAAAGTTCGTTGAACAATACTATGATGCACTTGTAGTTAGAAATATATACTTTTAGATTGTCAATTATTGGTACATGTACATCATATCCCTTGCGGTAATCAAACGCCTGGATTTGGTCACGTGTATGGTTGTATCTGCATACTACTTGGGAGTTTCAAAACTGTTACAATAACTATTCGGTACTTTCTGGACCTCAATGATTAACTCCTATCCTTTCTGAATGTTAACTATACTCAAATTAATTAAATTTTAAAATAGAAGCTAACCATAAATATTTACTAGTTGATCGATCGGTAGTAATAAATGTCACGTTTATCTTATCACCGCTGTTAAACAACCTAAATTATAGACACTAGTTGAGATAACTAGACAATCACGTTTGTCGCATCTACGACATAAATTTTGGTTTGTAATGAAATGTCTACGTTATACTTATTTTAACCTTTATGTAAACTATTTCCCGTTTATTAATTTTTAGAAGCATATTCATTTTACTATCATAAAATGAAATGTTTTTATAAAAAAATTTTCAGTCCTTAAAATTTCTTTTCTCACTATATAAAATTTATCCTTATAATTACTCTGTGACTTCAATACTCTGGTAAACATATAATTGTGAACGATTCCCGTGAAATGACATTTCCTATGTTGTTAATCATTTTTTTCTTAAGATTGACTAATCCAAAATTATATCATTAAATAATTATCGATTATTCATCATGGTCATTCACATTAAATAGTTATTTTTAATTTTAAAGGAAAGTGATTTTTATAAGAATAGGGATTTATGAAGATTGTAGTAGTTTTAGCAGTCTAAATGACGAGCTGATTTAAGCTAGACAACCATTGAAAACCTGAAAAAACTTGATGACCATTTCGTTTTAGACTTATCATTAATGCACACCCACGATCTAGCGTTTGGAACTCGAACCCAGGACCTTCGGTCTCGCTCGAACGCCTAACCTCTAGACTAATGAGTCAGCACCCAACAGTGTTAATGTCAAACGTTGGTCGATCCATGCTCTTGCGCAATCCTTTATCCATTGTCTGAGGTGGATAACTGTCTTCACCTGTATATCAATAATCATAAATTTGGGCAGTTTTTGCAGCCGATGAGACATCATGAAGTAGAATCAATTCTTTTTATTTTGCAAACCTTATTGTCTTTGCTCCATCTAATCAATTTATAGTCCTATTCAAATTAAATTATTTGTATACTAAAAAATTAAGTATAAACTATTTCTGTCCAATCATAAGTACATTCTATAACTTTGTAAGTGATTTGTTATAAACAAAAAAAATTTAGAAATGTATAGAGAATTAGTAATAAATAACATCATGGTATATCAATTTATTTCAATCTCTTTATGTAGAACATTGAATTCATCTGAATACTGAATGAAGTGATGCTTTCTAGAAAATATTTTAGGGAATATACATGAAAAAAAAAGAAGAAAGTGTTGAATAAATAAAATATTTGGAGAGTTAATAATATTTAAATATCAGTTATCTTACTGAAGATCAAATCTAGAATATATGATAACAAAATGAAATTTTTAATGTTATCTATACTTTTAATTGGATAATGAAGATGGGAGGGTAATAAATGTATAAAACTTAAGTGAAATCCATTTAATTCATGAACAATCTACTTATTTATAAATTTGATAGTAATATGTTACATTTGAAAAAAGTATACTCTTGATTCCATGACTAATTGATAGTAATATTGTAGTAAACAAGAAAACAGGCGGAAACAAGTGATGTATTTTAACACAAAATTACAGAATATTTTGGTAAAATATGAGATATATACATTAAATAAATTATTTGTTCTTCACATTCTGTATGATTCTTTCATTTCATACTTTATTATTTTTTTCTCCCATTCTCTTCAACTCGATTTTCTATATCATCTGCTACCAGGATTTGAACTTGTGATTGGTTTTACACGCTACTTATGTCGACAGACAGGATGATATATTTTCACTGTTAAGTTCGAACGTAGTCAAGCATTTTTGTAAATGCACTTGGGTTATTTTTTGCCAACTTGGTATCTGGCTATCATAATAGTTCGTCGTAGATGGCTTACAAAAATTCATCTATTGTATCAGCTCTAGGTTTGACCCCATTTACGTTTATTTGTATTGACTTTTAATGAGTTATGTACTGGAATGAAAAAGTCGACCAGCTTTACTTAATTTTTGATTTCTGTGCTAATTACAATCCATAGTTAAAAGCCTTTTACACTAGTACAAACTACCGAAAAACATTTGTTAAAACAAAATTCTAGGACACAATTTGTCGAATGCATTTCAAAAATATTAAATAAATAAATAATCTGAAAAAACCCGACCACATTTTATATCGCACGAAATGATAAGCTTTAGCTGTTTGGTAACTTAATTTTAAACCTTGGTTCAATAGTTCGTTGCTTTGAGACTGAATATACTAGGAGTTATGACTCTACTTTTTTTGGAAATTTATTAAGTTTTACATTCATTAAGATTGTTACCAGTGTAATACCAAAACATTCATGACGCGAAGTGGTAGAGGACGACTGTATTTTAAACGTAGTAGTCTTCAAACCAAACCAAACGTATAGGAAGAGTGAGTTAATTATTTCATGAATGAATGAATAAAATTAAAAGCGAGGAAATTTTGTGAAATGAATAACTACATATTTATGTGTTGAATAAAACAGTAAACCTATCTAGTGAAGTAAAATAGACAAATATACACGGGTATTTACATATATGTACGCTGTTAAAGCTGATTAAGTATATGAATAAATATCTAATAACAAATAAGCGTCACGTATTTTTAGAAGTGGTCTAATAAAAAGATGCGACAATACAACTTCATACATTTAAATGACGCTTTATTCTTTTTAAACTTAATGTTTGACTTGACATATGAATTTAATCAAAATGAAAACAAAATTAAAATCACAAGTTCACAGAAAGGATCTCTTCTCAACGAATTTTTTATCAAGCTGCACAATCGTATTTATATGAAAATCTTTTTGTTAATGTACTAGTTGCGTGAGAAAATGTGAACAAGGAATAGAAAGATTATAATACCAGATTACGTAATACCAATAATAACAATACACTTAATAAAGAAAGCAGTTAGGAATTGCATAAATGAATTGATCTACAGTTTGATTTTAAGGTTGTATATACGATTCGTCCCAATCTACTTAGAATTTTTCGTACCCAACTCCCGAAAATAGCCGAAGCTCTTACCATCCATGAGCTCAAGCTAGAACTATGAGTACAAAAGAAGTACGTCCTATCGTTATCGTTAACTTAGCCTTAATTATTATTATTATTACTGAATTTCTCCCTTTATTTATGTCTCATATTCTCGTTGATAATTGCTCATGATATCACTTTACTTATTTTGTACACCTCTGTGATCTTTAATGACCTTTAATTATTGTAACAAAAACATTTTATTCAGAGAGGGGTTTTGTGGATATTCTAGTAATTTAATATGTGAATTCATGAACTAGAACGAAACGGCCGTCCAGTGCTTCCAGTTTTCCCATAATAGTCTTGCTTCAATTGACTCATGATTTCAACTATTAAATAGAAAAAATCTTAATCATCTTACTACATTCACGTTATAATTCGTTACTAACTTATTAAGTGTATTGTCATTATTCGTATTACGTAATCTAGTATTATAATCATTTTATTACATCATCTTGGTTATTCCTTATTCACATTTCCTCACGCAACTAGTACAAAAAGATTTTCATATAAATACGATTGTGTAGCTTGATAATAAATTCGTTGAAAAGAGACTCTTCGCTGAACTTCGTGTTTGTAAAGTTTAAATGTGAATTACCTATCAATTAAAAACATAATAATCAATAAATGACAAAAGTTTTAATTCATTTAGTTTCATTTTATTACAATTATTTCTGTTTTCTTTTAATTTAAAGTATTGTGCAATCTTATCTTACAATGAATTAAGATTTAGTCATTGATTGCTTTACGTACTATTCTTTTTTAACTCAGATTTCAATATTAATGTTGTCATATTGTAGTAAGCTTAACTCACAAAATTATTTCTAATTAGTGTTTAGCCGAATGTAATGTTGAATTTTCTACAGTTGTCAGGCGGAATGAAATGTTTCAATACATTGAAAGCATAATGTTGGCGGAACACCTAGATAACAAACAAGAATACAATTCAAATGTCAAAACACACCGAAAAAAGAGAATGGAAGATTACAGTCTATGTATAATGTATTAAATAAGTACTTTGTAAATTTTCTTCCTACCTATTGTTATGTTTTATAATATTACCAATATTATGGTTTAAATATAGATTTAATCAAATCTATAATAATTAATCATACTGAATATATAGACAATATCACTAAATTATTGATTTTTCTCCAAGTGATTAAAATATTTTCTAAAAAAAACAAGAAGAAGTTTGATAAAATCAAGAATTATACTTAATAACTTTTTTTCATCTTTCACATAAATTATAAAGAAAATATCAAACTGGAATGATTATCACATTAATATATTTGCTTTTATTTTATCTACTGATGAAGTTTTATTTATTTTTTCTTTTCTTTCATTTTGTTTTTCTTTCTGTACATCATTTACATTGTCATGAAAGATAACATTATTTTTTTTAGCTTAAACTTATAATGAACTTTTATATTATCCAGATTATGTATGACATTTAATCAGAAATAATTCATTCGTTAAGAAGTTCATGTGTTTTTTTTCTGTTTTTTTGTTTTGTTGCAATCTAGCAACTATTTATTACAAATAGAAGAACAAAATCAACAAACGAACAAAAACAAACAACTAAAGAGAAAAAATCAGAATATAATTGAAATTATTAATATGAAATATGATTTGTTTCATTTATTTTTGTTTTTATTTGATTTACATAATATTCATTCATGTCAAATATTAAATTATCATATAAATAAGCAATAATAATCAATAAATTCATCTATTTTTTGTTTTACAGAAATACATTGAATTCAATTAATTGCATTCTGTTTGTTTGATCAATTTGATTCTACTGAATTAAGTAGTATATACAATAAGGAATAAAATTGTTTTCAGGAATATCAATCTTTTTTTCAATATTTAAGGAACAAACTGAAATCGATATTTCAATCTTAATCTTATCTTTTCTGTTTTATTATAATGTATAATTCATAAATGGATAGTTTTGTCATGAAATATTAATAACAATAATACTAATAATATTGATGAAGTATTATTAATGGAAAACAAATTTGTAAAAGAGTGAAATTATCATTCTCTATTTAATACACTCGGAAATTCTTCAGAAAGAAGTCGTTTACTTGTTTTTTTTTAAAAAATTAAAAAAAAGAATTTCAGTCTTCTATTATATTTTTATTTAAATAAATTGATACGGGTATTAATAATTCTTGATTTGGTATAGGTTTTATATGATTTGATTGATTTATACAATTACATAATATAGTTGAAGTATCTGGAATGTTTTGATAAATTAAAGTGTTTTGTAAATTCATTAATTTTTCCATATTATTTTGTTTATATTGATAATCATTAAATTTATATAATGATACATAATTATCTAATTGATTAAAATGTATTAACCAATTAGAATTTATATAATTTTGTTGTTTCTCTTTATTTTTCAAATTATATTTATTTATTAATAATGAAGTTTTTGATTTATAACATGAATTGATATTAGATTTTGTTTCATATTTAGGTATAGGTAATTTATGTATATCATAATTTGATTGAATTGTATTATATTTATTTAATTGTCTTTCTATTTGTTTATTATTATACATGTTATTTGTTTGTAATTTTAAATTATGTTTATATTTATATTTTTTAAAACATCGAATTAATTTTTGAGTAATTGAATTCGAAAACCAAAATCCACATAAAACAATTTGTATACCAATTAATGTAAAAAATGCTAATGTAGCTGGTAATAGTAAAAGTCTATATTCAATCCAATTTAATTTTTGTTTTGTATTATATTCTTGAGCCCAAAGTATATTTGTTGAATTATTTAAATAATGTTGAATTTGTGTTTTTTTTAATTGAGGAGAAATTGATGTATTTGAGAATAAATCAACTGATGAATAAAAAAAAACAACAAAAGTGTAGTGAGAAAAAAACACAGTAAAAAAGATTTAAATTCATTGGTGAATGAATCGTAAAAAAAAACTTTCATCAAGTTCTTAATACTTATCGAATTGTATTGAACAAAGAGAATATACTCATTCATCTAAGTCACTCGATAAAACATTCATTATGTTTTGGTGTGTGGTAATTATGTGTCAACTGTCATTCGTTAAAGTGTTACACTTAAAGGCTTGAGAGAATTAAATTTCATTTTATACTTTGACGACAGGTGACATTTTTTCGAATTTGAGTGAAGTCACCAGTTTCATCAAGATCAGTGGTATATCTCTCTTATGAAAGCCAGCTTGCAAGAAATATCAATCCAGCATATTTTATGATCAAGTTCCGATAAAAATAACATTAAATTATAAAGTGCGCCATACTCAAAATTATGTATTTTCGATACAGGTGTATTGATTGGGGAACATCATTCATTGCTTTCAATAAATCTAATATTCATACAAAATAATGAATGATTACATAGGCACTTCTGTCACGAAGCATTTCACAAGCCTTCTTTGGCCAATGAATGCAAACTTAACCATTGAACTAGGATGGTAACTTAATTCTTATGAAATTAAGGTCAAAATTTTTTGTAAAAAGACTGAGAAAAGTATATTCCTTTTTATCCAATTTGTTGATAAGATAATAGTAGATCACCAAGTGCTTTATTATGCCTCTAGTTTCATTTTATTTTATAAGCCTGTCTCTTAAATAATTAATTATATACCTCATTTAGTTATGAGGTTTACTTAATCATTCTCAAATAAAGCATGAAAAATGAGTAAACTTTATACAGTAACAAAATATGAATAATTGGTGTATCAGCGAATTTACTTTAGTGCTTTTTTAAAAAGCCTAAATATTCGCATTATGATAAGTTGCGAAATCAACTTGAGAAAATATATCTTTTCACTAACTTTTTGTTTTACGCCAGAACATTTAAACCTCCATGGCTTTTAGTAAGATGATAAATGTATGCAAAATAAAGGGTAGTGATGGTGATACTACTTATACTATCATGTCAGTGTATAAATAGTGAGTTAAAAAATTATGTCATTCGATTTGAGAAATAGCTCAATCAATGATTCATGAACAAGCTACATACATTATGCAGAAATTGATGCTAGCAAAAACAATAATAAGAACTAAATTATAAGAGTACTCATAAAGATAATGTTTACAATTGTTTGAGATGATAGGTTGCTTGCTGCTATGGTTAATGAAAGCCTTGAGATGAAAGGTGACCTGACATAATATTCCTAATGCAAAAGCTTCACAGGAAAATTTTAATGCCTATACTTCACAAAAAACTAAATACACATCTAGATTCCTACACTGATTATCTGTATATGTAGGTGAACGCTGGGTACTCGTCGATTTCTCATTTTATGTCCATAAATTAGAACAGTGTTTAAATTTTGATAAATAAATTTTGATTATAGTGGTTAAGAAAGTGATGTTGGAATCCGAGTTCATTCTATTTATATAGTTGTCTTCACAAGTGCTTATGAAAGCAGCTGAATTTGTAAACGTTTTCTTTATTTGCATCAACAGACTGCAACAGGTCTTAAATTTTATAATGATTTTTAAAAGATAGTATTGAGGAATATTATATGAAAATGTAATGTATGTGTGTACATTTAAAGAAGCAGTATTTCTTAGCTTTTGCTGATTTTCATACTTAAAGCTATGTTTTTCAAATTTCTCAATGACTACTCGATAAAACTTAGAGTACTCATGTTAGTCGAAGGCATATTAACAATAAAAGGTAGCATTTATATAGCAGATTCTACTTGAACGTTTACGTTTTAAAAATACACAACATAGAAGATAGATTAAAAAATTTAAAAATAACACTTATGAGCACAGAAAAACACAATCAATCGATATATTTTCTGGTTTAATAGAACCAATTAAATATAGATATAACAAGATCTTCACTCCATAAAATTTTATAATGTAATTAACTCAACTTACCTTTTCTGGAATGTTTCTTTGTTTGCATTTCTTTAGTAGTAACAATATGATTGGTAATAACTGTCTTATTACCAGACACTAGTTTAACACTTAAACGAAAATTATTCTGTTGACATATCACGGACTGAGCTATTAAATTACAAAATAAATATTTAGAGATTTTATAAACTAAAAAAGAAGTTGGAATCCTAAAAGATATACTGAACCAAAGAAATGTCAATTAATGATAAGAAATGCAAATAGATCTTATATTATCTCTCTTCTAAAAGAATGAACTATATTACCCTGTTTTGATTAAATGTAATGTCTGATTATGCATTGTTTATTTACATTCGTTATTGTTACATTGTACCTAAACGTTTTTAGTTTTTATTGATCGGGTCTTTTTTCATGAAGTTTAAGATGACTGGTCATCTTTTGTTGGATACTTAAATGTGATAGGCACATAAATAATCCAGAAGCTTGTTGATGCAAAAAATAGCATTCTGATATGTGGCTATATTATCAGAGGAAATCTGTGGCTATTCACTAGTTGTTCTGTCACTTAAAATATATTTATTCATGGGTTATTAATTGAATTTCATAACTATATATAAAGGTAGATACGTGTGTGAAGTTTACGTGATAATTTGGTGTTCAGCTGACGACAATATAAGGAATTTTCACAAAACTGCTTATTAAACTGATTTTAGTATGGTACTGTAAAACATAATAGCGTTCACCTGTCAGTTATGACGATATTCTACGTTTTTTTTTAAAACAACAATAAAGCAAGCATTCGTTTATACTGAAAATTGTACTAAACAGATTTTGTGTGACTTATACACTTAGAACAACATTACTAACTGTTTATATGCAAGCACAAACTTCTGCATACCTAATACTATAATATCTTTACTTCGAGTCGCACTTTAAATTCTAAATGAACGTATGCGATATTCAGTGTTGAACACGGTAACTCACAATTCATAAAAAAATATATGACTGTGCAGTTATATAGCATTAGTAGTAACATAAGTTCAAATGACTTGACAGAAAAAAATAATATTCTTTTATTTCGACTAGCACGTTATACAAATTTTCGTATGTCTACTTCTTCATTGTCTACATATCGAACTAATAACAAAAATCGGACAATAGGAGAAAATAAAATAATTTAGACATTGCAATGAACTAGACTGAACAAAATGGAGAAAATCAGTTCATAATCATGGTTTGTAAAATTACGAACATTAATTCTGAAAAGAGATATTTCATGAATAACGGTCGAAACATATTCATAGATGAGTAAAATGTTATGATATAGTATAGCCATTATACGAAGTATTACTAAAATGTCAGCGAGAAGAGTTTAGTGTTTGATGAGACTAAGACAAAACAAAATTTAAATACCACCCAATTATTCCTCTTTTTGTAGAAAGGGTAACTAAAATAGTTTTATATACTTTACTGTTTCATACAGGCTGAATAAAATAATAAACAGTGTGTACTGTTGTCGACATTTGCATTCTAGTCATAGTATGTGGTCTTTTGACTATTAATATTTCACCTAAATGTTTCTATACTATTGTATTATACACTGATAACATTTTTAAGGAAATTGGGATATTGTTCATTATTGTATAGTATGCATATATTAGCTACATTACAGAGGCATTGTATTTTAAGTGTTGTCACTTCACACTTTGTGAATTATGAGCGTAGTAAATTTTCAGTGTAATCAACTTGTCGGATAAAATTGAATCTTTAGATAGAACAATCTATTTCATCTAAAATCAGCAATTATTTTAATGCTTGTTTAGTTAATTGTTAGTATTTTTAATACTTTCTAAAACATTTGGTGTACAAAACTTTGATTAGACACGTTTTACCAAATATAATAAACGCAATGTCAGGATGTCCGATTAGTTTTTTTCAATTATTCGGAATCTATAACATTTAAATAATTGTCAACTAATCACATTATTTCGATCAAAGTTTTTGAGATTCATCACTTTCCTATGATTTTTATAGCAGCAGTCATATTTATTTTCAGCGTGTAACTTTACAAATGTTTTGATATAGATTCAAATTTATCAGTTGAGTAAAATTTGTAAGTTTTGGTTGTTTGAATTATTCCATTTATATTTATGACTGAAATTTTTCAGTCTTTTCTGATACATGTGTATCCTCTACCGATTGTCTCAATGTAGTCATTAAGTCACAAGCATTTTCAAGCAAATATGGACGATAACTAGCATTGCAATTCATGATACGTTTTTCATCTTATTTTAGACTCATCAGATGAATACACCTGCACCCCAGATTTGATATTTACTCCGGGACTCCGACCCGTTATTTCAAAATAATACATATAATTTAAAATCCGCCCCATTTTAGAGACCAATTAATTATGTTTTTAGTTTGGTTGTGTAAACTATTCAAAGTTCATAAACGTGTTCATTGTTAATGAATATTTTGTTTGTCTTATCAGAACAAAATTACATTTATAAAAACCTATGCGTCTAGTGTAGTAAAAAAGTCGATAAATAAAGTATGGAGGATTTTGTTCAATCGATGGGCAAAGAATATGCAAACAAATCAGTGGACATATCGGTTAATTAAAATTTAAGAATGATATAGATTTCGTATGTGAAGTGAGGTTTCTATTTGATATTTTTCATTTCAAACAATAAAGCTATAAACAGTGCAACATAAGTAATAAGAAGTACAGTTTTATCTTTAATTTGTTTTAGCACTGATATATCATAAATACTGTAGGGGTTTTCTTCAAATTTTAAGCTCATTTTCGTAATTTTTCAAAGCTTCAAAATCTTCTGTTTATCATAATGAAAGAGTCAAATAAGCGAATCAATATCGAAACATTAAAATGAAATGAGTTTAATAATTGGATTGATAAGTCAATTGAAGCTACACCACCATAGAAAACATGAAAGCACTGGTCATCTAGCTTCAATTGACTCAAGAATTCAGTTATTAATCTACCATAATATCAGCAAAACCACTCTCGTAAGATCAAATGAATTTGTAAAACCATAGATAGCAGTAAATTAGTGTTTCATCAAATGAAACCATTTAAAGAATTTTCAGATATTACGTAATCAGTTAGTTTAAGAATTAATATAAAGTCGTTGGTTTTTTGCCATGGTATTTTGTTATATTTCATAACTCCTGAAGATCTGCGTTCAGGTATAAAGTAAAACGAATAGAAACTAGCGTTTCTATAGAGTATAGTCTACATTCCGTATAAATATTTGCAATGTCATTTAAGAATGTAAACCTTACTAATAATGATTATGTTTCCTGAATTAAAAATCGTAATAAAAAGTTTATACTCACCTACGAAATAAACGGGAATTTCTGAATGAAAACTTGGTAGTGATGCGATTTCTGGGAAACGGCTAACTTTAAGAACGAATTCTGTAACTGACTTGTTTCCAAAACAATCCAAAAGTTTAATAACTTTAATAGGTAATGTTTTATTACATTTTAATTTTACACGTGGATCATCTGTCTATTCATATGAATAAATACACAACATAAAATAATAATATTTGGATACTAATGCTTGAACATATCGAATAAACTGTGTTTAAATATCTATAAACATTGTTGGACCAACTTATATTCAAGTAAAAATTCATTAATAACCTGAAGATTATCAACACTATATACATTAGTTGGACATTTAACGATGATATTCATTTATTATCTTTCGATTCACATTATATTAGTTTGTAGTTTTCCGTGCCAAATATACATAAAACTGATTAAAAGTATGTAATACAGTTGGCCCATGATTCCTGACTCCTATTCTTCTTTCCACGAAATAATATTTACTATCCTATGAGTCAAAATGTGTTAAACAAATAAGTTTTGTTTCATTAAAACATAATCCTTTTATTAGTTGAACTAATGATAATCAATAATAAAATATTAAAGTCTTTTATTAAATAACATGTTGAATAAATTTCAGTTGCCAATGCAAGAAATGTCGTTTAAACTATTAAAAACGATGAAATTATTTAATTCTTTTCATAATTTGTTACAGATACAAACAACACTTACCTCATATGACACATGACTTTTAACATAATTTGATTGAGTATGAAAATTATTCTTGTAATTAAAAGAAAATTATTAAAATGTTCATAATCAACGAAATCAAGTTGAAAACAAATAAGCTCCTTATAAAATTGTTGCTAATTAAAGAAATTTTTATTCTCATTTTACATTTGAATATTACATACATAACTCTAGTCTCAATAACAAAGCATAACTGCTCAGTAAATATTATATAACTGATGTGTCAACATATTTGTGGACAATATCGGTAATAGATTTCATTAGTTGAAATCATGAGTCAATTGAAGCTAGATTACTACAGAAAACCCGGAAGCATTAGATGGCCTTTACGTCCTAGTATGATTGATAAGTCTTGGGTTCGAATCTTGCGAAACGGGATCATGGATGCGCACTGCTGAAAAGTCCCATACTAGGACGAAACGGCTGTCCATTGCATCCAGGTTTTCCATAGTAGTCTAGCTTCAATGACTTATGATTTCAACTAGTGAAATTTCTAAAATCTCCACAAAACCTCTTCTAATAATAGATTTACCGATAGATTTTATCTGGCAAATAATACCAAAACGACATATAAAGCAGGCTTTGTTTATTTACTTATAATGACCACTTCCCTCTGCACATGTTATAATCAGCAATGTTTATTTGTAGATATATGTTGCAAGTTAAAAATATGAAAATATTTATCATTTATGTTATAACATCAAGAAAACACTAATCATATTATTAAAATATACAAATACATATTCATATTGTTACATGTATAATACATACCCAATACAGATTTTGAGAAAATGTTCGATTTTTTGGACAGATAAATATTAAGTTGTCACCCTCGGTAGCATAAATATCATTTTGATTTTCTTTGAACCTGGAACAATTAGAAAAAATGTTAACATCTTCTACAGGATCTCAAATTTACCGTTTGAAAAATGTACCAACCATTGAGTTGGTCTTATTTTTCTCATTATATATGTGACCATTCGTAATGTTTTAAGTACACTACATATAATTTTTGTTAAACTATCATTAGGTTGATGGGTATTATTTGGTCGAGTAATATAATAAGACATTGGAATAATAAATGAATGTATCTAGAATACATTTTTCGTTCACGTGTTTGGTAATATATTTAATAAAAATCTCTACAATCTCCAAACTGATGGCATCTATTTTGTAGATGCATTGTAAATACTTATTAGTGAATAAAGTTTATTGCTAGAAAATGAACGGTTTTCTCTACACAACTAGGATAAAAACCTTACTACTAAACAGTGTTCATTATATTCATCCATATTATTCAGTAACCATGCAGCTTATTGTATGTTTCAAACAATATATATATATATATATATATATATATATTTCATGATCTCAATTATTGAAATTATTACAATCTCAACAAAACCTCCTTCTGATACTAATATATATATATATATATATATATATATATATATATATATATGTATATATATGTCGTTAAAATGTTTCAATAGAAAAAAGAGTCTAAGTAAAAACAGGAAAATTATCTTTTGTCTGAAAGCAATCAGAAAAAATCATTCCTAAATCAATACAGGCAACATATCACATTTAATAATTAATAAAGCTTGAATAAAGATTTTACATTAATCAAGACAAAATATGAAATAAGAAATTGGATGTGAATGAAATAAGTGGCAATGAGAATTATAAATATAGTTGATAATTTTTAAATTCGACCTGAGCTAAAAATTAATTAGACTATATGATGGTAAAGTGTGGGATTAGGAAACTAACATATTGTTAGTGTTTAAATGACTGATATATGATCTTAACTTGAAATTGTAAGATTATTAATCGGAACAAAAATAGGTAAGATGGGATGTGAGAGATAGTAAAGTAATTACAAGTTAAGATAACTATTTGATCAAGAATTAGGTAATATGTAAATTAATATGAGTTTGGTAAGAATTAGTAAGTAGCGATGTGTTAGAGAAGTGACACAGCTAATAGTTATCTGCCTAAATTAGTCAGACTATGAATCATTCAAACGGCTAAAGCGATAGATATTTAAATCGGAAACTCTCTGTTCTTTTCTTGGATAGCTTGTGGCCTAGTTAATTCACTTAATTTGTTTTATGGATACATGAATTTCCTCTTGGTATTTTCATAGCTTAAACTTATTCAAAAATCTTATTATTATTTTAACGCTTGCAAATGTTTAGAAGAATGAATTTAGCACCCACACTGACTTACCAATTCTTACCTAATTCATATCATTTTACATATTACGCAATTCTTGAACAAACATTTTTTAAAACTTGATATTACGTCATTATCTTTCATCCCATCTTACCCATATTTCTTCTGATCAGTAATCCTACGATTCCATCTAAAATATCAGTTTATTCAAGTTAAAATCATATATCAGTCATTTCAACGACACTAACAATTTTATTTTATGTTACAAACAACTCTAAATTCACACTCCGTAATTTCGATCGATGTATTTGCCTCAAACGTTGCCAGTTTTCGGATGATTAATTTTGGTATTTAGTTGTTGAAGTTGAAGAGAATTTTACTGAAAGAAATATTTTTCGGTTTTATTTCTGTATTATTAAAATGGAAATTTTCCAGTGATCATCTTGTTCAATTGCGTATAATTTTAGTAATTTATTAAAAATAGGATCAAATAATTTGAGAGTGAACAACTGTTTTGACTCACTTGATCATCATGATGTTTAAGGATACGCCTATAATTATCCTATTACAATGAATAAAATGTGACAGGGATAGGTAATTAAACAATGTTATTCGTTAAAGTGGTGTACTTTTACGTCGATTACATCCTAAATTTGTCATTTGATAATTGAAAAGGTCATCTGTGTCAGTGATAGGAAAATTCGTTGCTAATTGTCTGATTACAATCATATAAAAAAGCCAAATAAATCGTATGAACAAAATTAAAGGTGAGAGGAATATTTTGTCGGGTTAATTGACAATAAATATTAGTAATAAAACTCTACGTCGAATGCTATTAGATTACAGAGGGAAAGAAAGATTTTATCACCAGGTTTAATATTCTACTGTAAGTGTAGTTATGTTGAACACTAAAAGTGAGATATCCAGTTTACAAACCTATTTATCCATATATAAGACTTCGTAACCTCAACAGAGGTCGAACTAGAAAGTTTTAAGATCATTCCGACTGACTGTTGTAACCAGTAGGGAAGCTCTAAGCATCACATAAATGGTATATTGGCTAGAAAACATTTAGAAGTTATTTATAAGATTATATCTGACGAGCAATAATAATCGCCAAACGGCGTCAACTAACGACAAGGTTAAAATTTCTAAAATAACATGTCTGATTTCACCTGAAATATACGTAGATCTTTCAATATTAGACAATATATTATCAACCATGCTACATAACAGACCATTACATGAAATATGGAATAAGCTAGAATATTACTTTAAAAATGTAAATCACAAACCAATTGTATCAGTAAACAAAGCCATTGAACATCGTAGAAAAGTTCATTTAGTTATTGAATTCACTGATGAAGTGAAACGTGATAAAATTACAGCTTCTCTCGATGTCCTCTTTTCGAGAAGGATGGATGGTTTTATCAAAAGGAATATATTTGGCTAGAATATATATAGATTTAACAGTATACCCATTTCCGTGGATTCACATCTCTCTAGAAGAAAATAAATCCGATTAGATTTCTTATTAATAGAATCAAATTCTTGTACTCTGAGAATAATTTAAATAGAGAGGTAGATCAATTAAACAATACACTACTTGACAACAGCACACCAGATTAAATCTTTGTAAGTTGTTTTGTCCGAACTAAAAGAAGGAACAATAGTCAAACACTTAATCTAAAACTCAGTTTTGAAGGGGACACTAGAAGGGAATATCCTAACACGTTGGCATAGAAGATCTACTGAAAAATATTCAAAGCTGTCAATATGCATGTGACCTTCTCAACTAAAACAGTGATTTGACGAGGAATGAAGGATAGGATATCAATTATGTCCCCTTTCGTGTTCACATACCAATTTAACTGCTCGTGTAGAGCTAGGCCATCCTCATTATGTATCATCCTTGAGCGTTCATGAAGATATAGTTAAGAAGAGGGGTTACGAAGTCTACCAGCAATGCTATTCTTTCTTACTTGGTAGATAACGAATATCCCAATAATATAAATGAAGCCTTCTCAATTATGTATCTGGTTCAGAGAAATCTACCTGAAGCAGAAAAACTACAGGTTCTCTACATACAGTAAGTCATCAGCATAAGCTCAAGGAGACCTGAATTCTGCATACTAAAAGGAGAAAATTCGATCCTCATTCATATTATGGCTGATGATTGGATCACCACATCTTTTGAACACATTTCTTATCACGTAGTGTAAATAGTTTTTGATAATTATTACTCTGGTGTCTATTTAGAGATTTCCTGACTTAGAATTAATCAAAAATTTTACTACAGTACTTATTATTATTGGTACGCCTGTCATAAAAATATAAATTTATACTTTTTACTTATTATGTGTAGTTATGTAATCTACTTCATTGTTATTATTGATTCATAAATTGTTCTGATTGTTTTAATGTTTTTCATATATCCATATAAATGTAAATATTTTAGGGTAAAGCCTGATGATGGTCCTATTAAAAAAATTACTATTGGTGGATCCTACTGTATTTTATAATCTCAATCAACTCTTTACGTTTAGTGTATGCTTCATTGAATTGAAAGAATTACTTTTGATGAAGTTTTGTTTTCTGAGCTGGATGGTTTGGTCTTAGAGCTTTCATCGTTCTACCGAACGACATCATTAGCACAATTTTTACAAACTTCTAACTGAAATGTTTGCTGATGATATCGTTCAAAAGAATGATGAAAGCTCGAGGACCAAACCATCCAGCTCAGAAAACGAAACTATCAAAATCATCCACCTGACCGACAAATGTTCGTCATCATCTCGAAAGCATGCTTTAAATACAACACCCTCTAATTCACTTACAGATGGCTTACCTTTGTCGTTATATAAAACAAGGATTGTGAACTTATAACTACGTAGGATGATGATGAAGCAACTAAAAACAATCGTTCGTAATAACAATGTTTATTTCAAAATATTCTTTGGAGATTATTCTAAATTGCTGAATTATAAGAATGATTAAATCAACATTTAAACTATCATACTAGTTTTTAATGGATTCATCTTGTCTCCGAATTGATTAACTTCTGTTACAATTTGTAAATTTATGTGTCACACGATGTCAATATTCTACTCATTATTCATCCTGGTTATTAAGTTCACAATTTTATATCATTTTAAGTTTTGTAGAACAACGAGAAGACGTAGTTGATCTGGAAAATGTGATGTTTTTGCGCTGTATGTTTTGAACATCCTAGTCACATGTATACTTATCAAGGCATTCTATTTGAAATTAGTAAATGTCAATTAAATGAAGATCCAAGTAAACGAAGTAATAATTGTAAATAAAGAAGAGAGAAAATTAACATTATATGAAAAGAACAGTAAATTGTCGCATTACCCTAGGCTATAAAATGACTTAAGGATAACCAGGGAAAATTCAAGGTAACAAAAAATTATTTTAATACATATAAGAAGGGTTCGGATTCATGAATAGCAAAGGTTTTTGTAAACCTAAGAATTCATCCTTGATGATCTCTATATTCAACGTTTTAGCGACTGTATTAATGTCACCTCTGTGCTCCATTTCAATTATGTGCTCTACTATCGATGGACATGGTTGTCAACTTTCCACATTGATCAGAACATTTGACAATAACTGACTTTGAAGGCATATACCTATCATATACAAAACATATCACTTTAACGATCCTTTTATCCTAAAAGTCTTTAGTTCGTAAAATATAGCTGACATATACGTGGTTGCTCCATTGCATTTTAACTACAGCTCCTAAATGTAGATATTGATGAAAATATAGGGATGATGATAATTCATACATCTATTTTCAAAAATTAGATACCAAACGTTACGAACATAATACTATATGTTACGAAAACCACATCTACACTATATTTTTGCCTACTAGATATACATTGTACACATATTTCCATCAAAACGTCAAGGAATTTCAATAGTATAAATTATCTGAGTAATATTTGGAATATAATTGATTTGATATTGATGAAATCTAACTTAATCTCAAATAGAACATGCAAAAGGTTAATATAAATTCCTTCAATTTAATTTCTTTACATTTTAAAAATGTAATCCAATAATACTATCATATTATCATACATAATGACATTATATTTGAATCATGCATTTTAACTATTGAAATAATTAAAAAGAAAACTTAAAGAAAATAACAGTTCAGTACAATCAGTTACATTAAATGCCACGTAAGATATATTATCAGACTGATTTTTTATTGTAATTTCAACATAATCCGATTGAACTAAAATACATTTAAATAGATAAACTTAAAAATAATGAACATAAAATTTGAATTTTTTCTCCCGAATTTCTATATTTATGTAATACTGTGTTAAAAAACATTAGGGAAAGATATATATATATATATATGTTTGGGGTGGAATATTGCCCCTTTAGGCTGAATAGCCTTACATGTTGCTATGCATATGACTACATCAACCGTAATTATTTTTATAGTAATAACATAAACGAATATGAAAATTATTTGGTTAGTTATTCATTCAGTATTTTATTTTATCTACATTTAAATAAACTTCCGTTTTAGTTATAGTGACATCGTGAGGACAGAAATCCTCGTGAAATATCATAAAGTTGACCTAATAGTAATTTATAACTTTATAAATAAAAAATAATATATGAGAATTTGTGATGCGTTGAAGATTTTTAAGAGAAGGTGGAAGTTTACATGAGTGCAAAAAGACATTCATCAAAAAACTTAAGTCGATTAATTTCTCTCGATATTCTGCAGCGTATTGTCACTTGAATGTTTTATGGGACATACGATACTTAGATCGTTGACTAATTCATTAAAGGCATTAGTTTCTACTCTCATTCAGTCACTAAATCGTCTGGTGAAAATACGCTGCAGAAAAACATTATAATCAATTATAAATACAGAATTCCAATACACTTAATGTACACTAAGGAAAGAATAAAATACATATAACGACATTTTTCCGAGACTTCATAAGCATAAAGTTAAATTTCTATGAACTGAAGATGATCGAGTGATGGTCGGTTACTTCATTCACTAATTCAGTCAAATAACAAAAAAATCCCATGTATGAATAGACCATCAACGATTCTTCATTTATCTTATTAATAAAACAAATCGGCGTGACATTTACTTATCAATATAATAGAAATTTTTTTATTTTAAATCGATGACATTTTCGATTAGCTCTTGTAACTTGTTTATTTACATGGTGATTATTGAAGTTTACATTCGCGACAACTAAGGAAAATACTTTCGAAGTTTTTGGACATAACAAATTAAATCTAATAATTGTACATTTTAATGTATTTCAATCTCCATGAAAAATTGACGATATAGGTGTATAATAATTGCGTATTACGTAATACGAAAAAGAATGCTGTAACATTTCTTCTTTGAATTTAGTGAATACAGATTACTTTTATAGTGAAAAAATAATCTATAAAATATTTGGCTTTTTTTATTTTTAAACATTCAGGAAAAATATCACATTTCAATTCCTGCATTTATTTGTTAAATATATACAAAATTTGAAAGATTGAAAACTACTTAAAATTAATGAGGATATACATATATTTGAATTTATGAGTCAATTGAAGTTAGGCCATCCAACTCAGGACATATCGGTCTTGCACCCCAACGCTTAACCTCTAAACCCTTGAGCTGGCATCCAACAGTGTTAAGGTTTAACTTCAACCAATCCACCAATTTGCGTCACCGTCCACCATTGTCATCAGCGATTTACTATCTCACAACAGACTTGGTTGAACTCAACTGGTCACTGCTTCTCAGTAAAACTCCAGAAGATATCTCTTGAAGTCAGAAGGTGTTTTGTGGAGGTTTTAGTAAATTTATAGTTGAATTCATGAGTCAGTTGAAGCTAGAATGAAACGGCCTTTCAGTGCTTTCAGGTTTTCCATGGTGATCTAGCTTCCATTGACTCATGAATTCAACCATAAATTTACTATTATCTCCACAAAATCCCTTCTGATAATATACATATATGTTTAACCTTAATACATATTTTGTGTTTCAGTCTGATAATTTTGTTATCATCGTATTTTTATACACATCATTATGTCTTGTTGATTGACTATATTTAAATACTTTTTCTTTCCCTCCCCTTAAATACTTTATAAATCTACAGTCTAAATAACATTTTGTTCACTGAGTATAGAAAATGGTATCTAAAGAAATAAAAACTTTTTTATATTTTTCTGCTTCAGGTTTTTTGCTTTTTCTCAATAAGGGTAATCATTGATGACTTTATAGCAAGTTCTAAAGATCACATGCTTTAGGTCTTATTTTATGACAAAAGAGGTTTTAGGACCTTCTGATTTGATGTTTGTCGTCATTGAATATCAGTTCAAGATCAAAACTCACTTTTATTTAGTTTTTATTTCACTAGTTTTTTGATACTTCTCCTCTTGGTATTATCATAACGGTAAAACTTAAGGAATCTGGGTGTAGATTCACTTGTGTTATGAAGTTACTGAAAACGTGTACTGTTGATGTAAAATGTTTTCTTTAAAATACTTAAGAAAACTTATAAACTCAACGACAGTAGGATTACAATTAGTGAACATAAGCCTCCAAACCACGATTTCCCGAAATGTAATTCATGAAAATCCTGAAGTGTCATATTTAGAAAGACCAATTGTTCGTGTCTTACATTTTAAAGTGAACTTAAATAATTTGCTTAAACGTAAATAAATAAGATTGACTTGATTATAAAAATTATAATGACTAGTATATAAATAAAGAAAATCATCATGGACTTCCGTAACCCCTAATATCTTAAACAACTTTGATTACGGGAGAATAAATGTTCAGTTATTTACTATGTTTATACATGATTCACATTCATTTTTAGCTAATGCAGTAGCAAATATACCGATAAATACTTATCTTTCTATTAAAATATACTTCTAATAATTTCATTTGTTTTAGATTTTGAATCTTAGCATGTAGCATAAAGAAGGAAGATTTCCAACTCCTTAACAAGAACATTATTTCTATTAAATTCGAGGTTATGTTTTACATTATCCCTATGTTTGTCAATATTTCCAAAGGAAATTGTCATGAATCTGACCATTTTAGTATGCATTTATTTTATTTACTGTACAACTAAAAGTGCTCGAACTATATAAACAATGAAATGCATAAAATTGATTCTTTAACCACGATTATTAACTCTAGATTTCACATACTGTCTTCTGTCTCCCTCTTCCCTTGTTTAATAATATGATTGTTGTTTGCATTCTATTTCTGACTAAAATTTAATTTCAATCTATTTTATCACGTTTGGATAGCCATTTCCTCAACTGAGTTTTTTAATCTTTTGACACCAATACAATCAGAAAACAAATGATAGATTATCAGAATGGGGATTTGTGGAGATTGCAATAATTTTAACAGTTGAATTAAGGAGTTGATCCAAGTTAGACCACCAAGTTTTCAACGATGATCTAGTTTAGATCGACTCATGAATTCATCTGTTAAAAATACGGGTTATTATTTGGAATCTATCATATATTTGCGGTTGCATCAGTTTGAGTATTAAATTCCGGAATAGGTCTTTGTTTGTACTACTCTTATATATTTCATTATTAAACAAGTTATTTAGAAATATGACACTGGAATGATTAAATCGTTTGTGCTTACAGCTTTAGTTTTTATTAAATCATAGTGGCACAATATTTAAAAAATATGCTCACACATGCATATTATGCAGTAACTTTAAAATATTTTGTATGAAATAATCAACTCTCAAAATGAAAATGTTCAACAAATGATTGTCACTGGGTACCTCTCCAATGAAATCTAATTTGCTATTATAAGGTTACTCAAACAAAACTATCAAAACTCATTCACTCAGTGTTTTGGAAATAAATTTATTGGTTTCGAGCTAATGATATCCTCATAAAGCCTTAAAATTCTTTCTTTCGTCTCTTTAGAGTGGATGCTATTAAGAAATCTTACCATCGATTTTATCTCAAATGACAAAAATATTTTCATATATACTTTAAATCTAAGAACAAAAAAGTTAATTTTACAATTTCAGAGTTTCTTTTTTAAAAACTGAGTAAATTTCGTTATAAGCTGATTATTCACAGTATTAACATTAAATTACACATTGTCCAACGCAACTTAAAATTAGACGGATACAGGAAATGAATAAGAATAATAATTACTAATGATAATTTACCGTGAAACAAGATACAAAACATTTACCTTTACTATCTTCACTATTTTATGATGTTTATTATGTAAAATACTTTCTAATATTTATTAAAATGCAACAAAATCATCATAAAAATAGATTTCTTGAGTGTAACAAACAAAAACTGAACTACTGTTATTTTATATTATGAAAAGAAAACTATCATTACTATTGAGTTTCACAGTTACACTTATAGTTTTATGGATAGTAAAGATTATATTCTATAATCTATCTATCTATCTATACACCTATCTAAATATATATGTACAAATATTTAGATGAATAAAACTACTTTAACTAACCTCCAATTACTTGCATCCCAAAGTATTATATGATCTTTTAATTCAGCAGAAGTAAATTTGATCAAAATTATCACAGTTATTTCCATTAGATATGTATTTTGCATTTAAAAAGTTTACTATTATATCCATATACGTTTATTTATTCACTTTTGCTTTTGTTTTTTTTTTGTTTTAAAAGATAAATAAAATAAATTAATTTATTTTAAGATTTTCATTGTTTGTTTTTTTATTTAGTTTTTATTAATGATATAAATTGAAAATTACAGTAACAAATGAGAATCAATGATTAATAATTGAAGGTGAATTAATTATATTTAATAATGACATTTATGAATGGTTGAAAAATATAACTTCTATTTGATTGGTTAAATTTTAACCAGTGTATAATAAATACCAATAACAAATTTCATTGGTAAATATATGTTTTATTTATCTTATGTAAATCGGTACAATTTGTCACTTTTTTTTCTGTTTTTTCATAAAATGATTTTATTGTATGTAAACTATAATTATTTTTCGTGAACTGGTTGAAGTTAGACATTCGATGCCTGCTCAGTGGTTTAATGGTTAAGCGTTCGCGCATGAGATTGATAAGTCCTGGTTTCGAATCTCGCGAGACGAGGTAGTGGGTGCATACTGCTAAGGATTCCCATGTTAGGACGAAACAACCATCCAGTATTTCCAGGTTGTCCATGGTGGTCTAGCTTCAATTGACTCATGAGTTCAACTATTGAATTACTTTAGTTTTTTGTTTATTATTGTCTATTTTGATAGATAATAGGTTGGTGATAAATTAGAGAAATAATGAAGCTTTAAAGTCACTGACGGAATCTTCCAGATTTGATCCATATCATATTAAAAATAGTAAATGTTTGACTTGTAGTATATATTTGATTTTGGTATGTCTTCGAATAGAAACATGCTATAGATCAGTTTTTGCTACCTACTAAATTTTTAAAACATGATGAAGAAGAAAACGTTTTCAAAAAATGTATCTACAGAATAGGCTTTATTTAGAGATGTTTACTGTTAGATAATTTAGACTAAAGAATTAACATAAAATATGTTATATCCGAATGACGTATAAATGAACGGCGACTGCTAGGAACTACTTATAGACTGTTATATATTCTTACTGTGAAAGTATTAAGTAACGAGATTATATATAAATATCCTTTTTTACAAGCTTTCATTTGACTTATCGACTACTATTGTAGGACATACTCTTCTTAAGTTATTCCTACTTTATTTCCTACAGTCCCTCACAATCACCGTCACTTTTTGGCTTGATTTTGTACATTTGTTATTTTCTATTTTATTATGAGGTGCGGTCTGGTTTATTTTTATATAAACCAAGTATGTCTAAAATATATGACTGACATAGTGGAAGTTGATATGGATGTTTTAGACTCAACAGGCAGGGCTAGACGAGATGAAACAATAAAGACTCTAGGCTTCATGTACCGGTCAACACATAATTGGTTTGGTAAAGTGCTAATATTGTATAAGTCATGTTCTGATTAGTGGTTGTGTCACGTGATAGTTAACAGGCCACAAGTCATAACAGATTATAGTTAAAATTATTTCATGAACAAAATTGTTGTTTATGTTAACACAAACAAAAGTTAAGTAGGTATACCGCTAGATGTTTATGCAGAATATCGAATGAACATTTTAGAAAGATATCAAACAAAAACAACAAAGGTTGTAGACAAACGACTTGAATAAAAGATTTATTTTTCTGTCACATTCATTTATTTGTAAAGTCATAACGTGCTAAATTTGACAGTATCAGTCGTATAGATAAGTGTTTTTAAAAAGCCAATCATTATAAGTGTTATTTTCCTTCAGAAATCTATTCAACAGATTTTATAATAAAAGAATGTGTTAATAAGGCTTCGTAATTTTCTGTTGCTGGTATTTTAGACTGGAACAAATAAACATCTTTATATAGATGAGTACACTCTTTCATAACATGTTTTAGTTCATTTTAGATTATTGACAGGGATCTAGAATGAATGTTTCGTCCTATTCGGGATTCGTCATCCTAATATGTACGCATAACAGTATTGGTGTTTACATTGAGACTAAAACTTAGTACTTGTGGTTTCAAAGTTCAGCGCACTAGCCACTAAATATCGAATCATGGTAAGTACTAGAATTTCCAGTATCCAATTTTTAATCCATAATATACCAAAACGTAAATATTATTCGAAATACCATTGAAACACTTAATAAACCTACGAGTTATTCTGAGGATTACAAACAGAACAGGGTAACTTCCTATTTGTGATAATTGGTCTCTATGTATTACAAGTGCAAATAGAGTACACATTTTCTTTGATATCGATACTTAGTTTGATGAAGAGTCGTAAAATAACAGAAATAAATACTTGCAGCTAACATTCTGCAGTATATTAATAAATATTTTTATCTGATTGTAAACGTTTTAAGCGAAGATGGATAGTGACTAGTAGTGGAATCCAGGATGCGCGTTTCGTTCTATGTATGACTTGTCAGCTGGATCCATCTTTGCTTAAATAAGCTTGTGACTTAAGGCAATCCGCACGAGATGCACATATGCCATGAGACTGATCAATTGCAGCCCTAAATAACAATGGGAAGATACATGTGAATTTGATTGGAAACGTGTTCCACATAAGTTGTTTGTTAGCTAATAATACCAGCCAAAATATTTACGAATAACTAATATCTAAATGACTATGTATAAGATTAGAAAACAAATTTGAATCTTAATCAATCAATTTTAAATCCTGATATTATGACAAATGTGAATTGTCTTTGAAACACGAATGCACAAACATTTGAATAAATCTGAATATGAGACTAATCAGGCTGGCAAACTAATTATATATATGACATGGCTCAAAATCGTTTGCAGTGGCGCAAGTGCATGCACTCTTTGTGTTCTCCCAAGTTCTAATCTTCCGAATACTTCATGTCTTCTTTTTTCTCTCCCCAAATTTATTTCACTGAATCATGCTCCTTGAATAACATCTTCAAACTCTAATCTTTCTAATTACTGCTTATACTTTTATCACCTCTACCACTATGGGATGTAAATCGACAATTTTATCTTTTTGCTAATATGGTATGGCAAGTTGAACTAATGTACGTATGTACGTACAAAGTTCTACATTGTTAGTGATTGACTGATATACAAAGTTTGTAATAGTGAAGCGTATTAGTCTGAATCATAGTTAATATAACACACATTGTATTAGATAGTTTCATCAGTTTGTTTAACTTTTTTTAGCGAGTTAGTTTCCTAAGGGATGCGGTCGTTAACCTCATGCCCAACCCTCCTCTTTTACCCGGGCTTGGGACCGGCAGTAGCCCCAAATAGGCTCTAGACGAAGTTTCATCAGTCACATTTATTTCGATTTAGGCATTAGAACATCTTAACTTCTCAATATGTTTAAATTACAATCTGTTTGAAAATAATATGAGTAGTTCAATATATTGAATTTGACAAAAATTATCGGTGTAAAATTGTTATACAACAATTTGTATGGATTTTCCACTTGACAATTATCATATTTTGATAAAAGGTTTAAAATTAAAACAGAATAATGTTTTTTAATTCAATTATGAAATTTTGTTTCGAAATATTTCATATTGTTTCGAAAATTTTGTTTCTTTACTCTTTTTAATGTTCATAAGCAACTAAAACAAACGATAAATATTATCCTTAACTAATAGGTCTGCAGATAGTGTATCTAGAAATGATGTGAACTGTAGAAATTAGGTATATTATAAAATTATTATTGAGAGATAGTAACTTACTGGAGAAAATGGTGGATGTATCGCTCAATTTCGTGAATTCGCTGAAGATAGACATTGATACTGTTGGATGCGCGCACCAGACTGATTGGTACTGGGTTAGAATCTCGCGGGCGGGATCGTGGATGCGCACTGTTGTGGAGTCTCATAATAACACAAAACGGCTTTCCAGTGTTTCCAGGTTTTCCATGGTGGTCTAGCTTCGACTGATCCATGATCCCAACTACTAAAAATTACTATAATATCCACAAAACACCTGATAAAATTATCTGTCAAAATAAACATGACAAGTAACGTTTTACTTGATTTTTATCACATAATGGAATTAATTTTAAGAATATGATGTATATTGTATAATGAGAAAATAATAGTGTTCTATTCAATCAGTTAAAGATACTAAGGACGATTCATATATGATTATTAACTTACCTTTTAAATTGAGCATTTAAATTACAATTTTATATAAAATGAGTTGATAGTATTTTCAATGAATAGCTTATCTATTATTAATGTAATGATTTAGGAAAGAGTGAAGGAAATAAAGTTTTTGTAAGTAGCCTGATCTGTTTAGTGTTAAAGAGTAGTGGAGAATTACTGTAGAAATTTGTATTTTGGAGTTATAGTCATTCATTTGCTAAATAGTTTTAGTCAGTACATATGAGTCTGTAAATAAAACCAACTAGCAATAACTATAAAACGGAGCATAAAGTTTTAATTCATAATTAGTTACCTTTTGGACCAATTAGAATATAACAGAGTGGATATCAACTCTGGGATACAAACACACTTAACTGATCAGTCGCAAATAGGACGAAACGCTATTCCTGTTTAACTCTTCCAATGACACTTGTGACTTAACAGCGATATCGAGAGGATCAGCGGAGGATGCACATTTGCCGAAAAATACCGAACAATTGTAGTCTTAAACATAAACAGGAATGTTCACAAAACCAATACAAATGAACTTATACATATTGGATCTAATAATTTAGTGGATCTAGTAGTAAATTTTGTAATAAAACTGTGTTGCTACAAAAATAATTTCAGAACTATTTTAGGAGTTTACCACTCACGTCACTCAATAGAAAGTAAACATTTTGGATATCATTTCCGCTCACAAAATGATGACACATGTTGAAGATAATTCGGTACAGAATTTATGCTGATCATTTAGTGTAATAAACATGACGATGAAAACAAAATGCAGAGGTATCTCTGTATTATGTTATGATCCATTTACGAGAAATAATGAAAGCTTCAGAAGAGGTAAAACCTACACTTAACATATTCTTGTACAACAAGTCTCTTCTAATATGTGAGTTATAAATTTGCTGAGTATTTCTTATCTTGGTATTGTACAACACTGATCACATAGTGTACATTTTCCTATTTCTAGTTCATCAGAATTATATTTTGTAACATTTCTATCCGTCTAGTTTTCATATTACACAATAATAAAATTATATTACAATACTATAGAATCAACAGTACTATGATTATCAGTTTTTTTGAATGAAAAACACTTAAAAGTCACTATAGACATTGTACTAACTACAACTTTCTTTCATTGGAAGATTATTTTTTTTCTCACAGTTAAACATATCAAATTAATGATCCAATCTGAAGAAAAACAAATTCTCTTAGAATGTTTTTCCTCAAAAATTACAGTGTGGCCTGAATGTTTGTTTTCTTTTGTTTAC